AACAATTTATAATCAATACAATCGCCTAAATGATGGACAAATTAACATGGATGTGGTGCAGGTCTCATTTATCATCATAAACTTGATTTTCCAAGGTAAAAGGTAAAATAATAATGATATGGCTGTCGGTGATATGCATTGTTTTATATTTGATTATATGTCAAACCATAGAAATGCATATATAGATCAAATGGACTTACTGAGCCTGATTTATATAAGTGTCTCTTCTACCGCACTATCATATCAAAAATCAGAAATTATCTCTTTCTTCAAACCAGTCACACTATGGTGAGAGCTGTCTGCAAGACAAAATTGTAGCCAACAAGTGACGTCACTGTTCACGTCCCAAATCGGGGTTATGAGAAAAAACAAGAACAAAGCTTAGTCTTGAGGAACTCAACAACCAGTCACAGCAAAATTGGCGTGTATACATACGATTCGCAGATATATAGATAACTTTGTAAGCAACGGTCACAAGCAGTACAGAATAACCTTCAGCAAGAAAAAACCAATCAGAAGACGTTGCTTCTCTGCTGAAATATCGAATAATAATGTACATAAAAATCTATAAATATCTGTTGATTTTGTCAATAAACCATCTGTTGCCTAGCCCTTGTCTTCTGCAGTTACAACACTACTGTAAAACAGTCATATATGGGAAACCAACAGAACAACTGGCACAAATTTAATGACGGTGTGAAGTATTTTTTACACTTGGAGAAACACATTTCAGTTTTTCATCGCTTCCTGCTGAAATATTCTAAAATCGGTCATCTGCAATTTTATCTAGTTCATGTTGAATTTTCATTACCTGCACACTGAAAATATTTCCTCAATGTTGATCTAGACACTTATTTTCACACTGTGTCGACTTTTTCATCCCTAGTGAGCAGTGATTTTGTAACTGTTTGAGCTCTAAAATTTGCAGTTGGAACAGTCTAATTTATAAGCAGTTTCTTGACTCTATTTCTTATTTTTATGAAATATTTTTTCTAATCTAATGACTAGGTTACGAAATGTTGTCTATAAGAACTTCTTCGTTATCGAATCAGAGTGTTCAGTTTTGAGAACACTCTGCCGACTTCATAGTAGTCTTCGTGTCTTTCGAAGAGAAGCTGAAATCAGTTCACCAGCTGACCTCTTTTCTCATTGAATGTGTTTATATCTATTCCTATTTAGTGATTTTTCTTTCTAATGTCAGGACTACAGAAATTCTCTTACGCATTCGAGTAAGCGTGAACCAAGACTATTCAAATCAAAGTTGCGGTCATACCTTCCCAAAACGAATAACTGTCTGTGATTCACATGGATAAACTGAGGTTTGACCATAAGAAAACATTCTTCTAATAGATACTTTTAGAAAACACAAGTCAAAGTTTTCACACATGTACTTTTCGCAAATGGTTATTTCGAAAAACTCATTCACAAACTCTTGGAAGGTCACTTTTCTTAAGGTTTAGATCAATTTCCCGCTTAAAAAGAACCGTGTCTTTCAGTGTAGTTAAACAACGCATGAAGAAAAGATATGAAATGATTTTTTCCCAAATGACTGGTCCGTTATTAGTGCATGCAACTAGGAGTTCAGCGTAAATTAGGAGGAAGGAAAAGGTAACCTTATTCTCGATAACGAGCAATGCCTTTGTGAAAGTGAATATAATAAGTAAACGAAAAGATGACTGACGTACAGTGTTTTAAAACACTATTCTAGATAATTATCACTTTCTCAAAACGGTATCATATTACCCTCTGGATTGTAACAATACCAGTGATGCATGTACTTAAGAATAAAGTAACCTCTCAACTGATCACTAACATATTGATTTCGATAAAGAAAAGAAGACGAAATTTGCAGTATAAAATGATATCATTCTATTTCACAGGTTCTCATCAGCTGCAGACTACCTGAAATTACAATGGTTATATAGATAATAACATACTTAAATGTTCGAGTGGTGGTAGAAGAGAGATACTATAAAATTGACGCATCTAAATGAAAGCATTACAATGTTTTTAGTTTAAGTTTTCATCATCAATTTATACGCTCTTACAGTTGAAAAGAGGGGGAGGGGTAAGACAGAAAACAGAAAAAACTGATTAACAGAACAGTGTTAGCTTGTGGGTTCACATAGCAACTCAAGAAACAAAAACGGTTACAGTTTATGAGATTAAGATTTGTTCAGTGAGTTGGGATCACTGAATTAGATGACTAATCAAAATCAAAATTCTGTTACCAAGGGAGTAAGAGGTTAATCACACTCTCTTTCTGTATGCATAAGTCTGGTTAAAGTCGTTTGATTGCTATCGCTTCGGCAAATCGTAGTAAATTTGCTATCCTTTGTCTATTTAATATTTTGAAGGACTTAGAAATCTCTAGAAGATGTCCGGTATCAACAATGTGTCTGGTAATTGCACTCTGGGAATATCTGCTTCCTTTCAGACACAGGTTTTTGGGAATATGTTCAGAAAGCCGGATAGAAGCCCTCCTTTCTGTCCTTTCAATGTACTTGCTCCCGCAAGTGCACGTGAATTCATAAACGCAGTTGGAGGTGACTTCAGCAGGGTATTTATCCAGTTTTGAGTGGATTAAAGAAGGAGTGGTGCTGTATACTGTTATGAGTTTTGCTGCCGGAAAGCTTCTATTTTTCTGTTTTCTGTCTTACCCCTCCCCCCTCTTTTCAACTTTAAAAGCGTATAAATTGATGATGAAAACTCAAACTAAAAAAATTGTAATGCTTTCATTTTGGATGCGTCAATTTTATAGTATCTCTTTTCTACTACCCCTCAAACATTAAAGTATGTTATTATCATCTATAAAACCATTGTAATTTCAGGTAGTCTGCAGCTGATGAGAACCTGTGAAATAGAATGATATCATTTTATACTGCAAATTTCGTCTTCCTTTATTTATCGAAATTTATCAAGGGAACCAAATATTTATTTTGACACGATTCTTAACAAAGTGAAACCATGTACTATTTTATCGATTTCATTATCATAACAACACTGAGGTACTCTTATGAAGTTTCACAAACTACATTTCCATGTGCATAAAACTTTTAGTTTACATAACGTTTTGTTGTCAATTTTTTCTGCAAATGAATGCATCTCCGTATGTGTGTCGTAATAATGATTAATTCTCGGATTACTTATTATTCAGCTACTTGATATTCGACAAATAGAACGAAAAGATATTGATAACTACAAAACTATGGACAAGACCTTCTTACCACTGAATAGATCAAGTATTTATGCACACAACAAAATGACTTGCTACAGGTTGGAGTTTCCTGAGTTCTAGTGAGAAGTCATGACCAGTGAGGTCCAATTAGATTTCACGTGCGTGGATGGATGTCCCACCAACGACAATGGTTGGGGTCGCTCTAAATCACGAATTGGTAGAAGTTAGAATTCATGAGCCATTGAATCCGGTCCCAGTGGCTGAATGGTATACGAGTGTGCCTTGTAACCGGAAGGTCCTGGGTTCGAATCCCAGTGGGTGCGTACTGCCGATGGTTCCCAAACTAGGATGAAACAGCTGTCTGGCAGTACTCCCTGGTTTTTAATGGTTCTCTAACTGATATCAATCCGTGATCAACTCGTAAAAATGAAGTGCTATTTTTTACTTAATCGAAATCCTCTAGCCCAACAAATCCATCTAAGACTGTCTGACTTGGCATACAGTACAAATAAAGAATGTGGTATTCCATACACTTTCCATTTCGAAATTATTGTGAAAAACTAAGCATAACGGTATAACCAGTTGTGTGAGATCAATAAAAACAACAGTAAATATGAATGGAGATGAACACAATGAGTCGATGACTGGGTTATTTTAAGGAAATTATATTATTTCAGAAAAAAGCCGCTTAAGAAAAGAGAAAGTGAGAGATATAATTTTGAAGTCTTTTTTACAGCATAACACAAACAGTCAGTCAGTCAGACATTATCATCAGCACAACAACTTTTTAGCCAAGTTTCCCGAATGATTATGCAATAAAGTCATGCTAACAGATGGAAGAATTAAATGATGAAATAAATCGCAAACATGAAGGAACTGATTTCCAAGTATTATTAAACATACATTTTCAATTATTCAGTTATTTGTCACTAAACAATCGCTTAAATTTCTTTATCTAAGTTTAAAGGACTACACTGGGAAAAACCGCACACACACACACACACACACATACAACTATAACCACTAGGCGCAGAAGTAACGAGAAAGTTGATATAACTTTCATAAATGGCTTTATTTATAAAACAATTTAAAGGATGAGAAATGTTTTATCAAGTTATCAAACTAGTTTTTTTTTAAAAAAAAGAAGAAGAGAAAATCCAGTAAATGCAAAGACTTTAAATTATAAACAAGCTTATTTCACACAGTATCTTCTTGGAAAATGTTAAAACGTGGGATCACAGATAAAACCACTTGAATAACAACGACGTAAAGGAATTAACACACAAGTCAAACGAATATTTCAGTTGTTGTTTTTACACCTTGAAATGACAAACACAAAAATATAAAAAATATATAACACAGACATCAAGAAAGTAAAATACTAGCAAAGTTAATGATTATTATTGCACTATTATTTTCGATAATATCAACTAGGTGTATGCAGAATTGTTTGTTTAAATTTCAAATGACAAAACTTTATCATCAGTGTGTATACTGTACGTTGAACAAAACGTATAAATTGATCAGAAATCAAATACACGAGAGGAGGAACAGAGCAAATCAGAAAATCCAAAAATGATTGCATAAATTATGAGAAAACACAAAAAAAGGGGAAACAAAATAATGGAAAAATGTAAGTTAAAAATAATATTAATTAACAGAGGGAAAAATATGATTTACTTCAACTAAGTAAAGATGTATAAATGTAATAGTGTTCACTTTGAAAGGTTATCATGAATTTGTGTATCACAATTATATATCTGCATTAAATGTGTGCTGTAAAGATAGCAAATATTAACAAATTTCTTTGTAATGACACTGTTTAAGCCCAAATCTAAAAGATAAAATCATGATTAAATTCTAATTTGATCGGTGCTATACAGTTAGACAGAAAAGAAATAAATTCATTATAGCTTATTAAGAACAACCCAGTAATGACCAAAAATGTATTAGTCAAATATTACTATGACATGTGCTGCTGGCAAGATTTATCAGTAGTGTATAAACAGACGTTCATCGGCATAAAAGTATCAAATAGCAGAGTGATAGTCTTAACATCAAAGGGAGTATAAATGAACCAGTGTTGTGGTAAAACACGAGAGACGCGAAAAGAAGACACAGAAACACAATACAAAGGGCAGAAGTAGGACAACCCGGAGGATCTGTGCAAATGATTTGCAGATAAGGTATACGAGCTCGCCTTGTAACCAGAAGGTCCCGGGTTCGAATCCCAGGGGGTGCGTGCTGCTGAAGAGTCCCAAACTAGGACGAAACAGCTGTCCAGTACTCCTAGGTTTTCCAATGGTTCTCTAACTGATGTCAGCTCATGATGAAATCCTGTAAGGTTTATATAATTTCCATATATAGAGACATCAAATTATACAAGAACATGCTGTTACTACGTCTCTTGCCTTCTCTTATTACAGCACTACATTCATAAATCTCTACATATTATGGTATATTTACCTGTCGATTTTATGTGTTACGCTCAAAAATCAGCATAATCAAAGGTAAGCAATAAAAACCATCAAAATATAACGACAACACCAATTATTTTTTAATTTTTATTTATTTTTTTTATTACAGCTTGATTCCACACTGTATTTTTGGTACAAGTATGGAATTTTCAGCATTTGATGTCGGTAGCCCAAATCTTGTAGGCCGACCATTGAGATCAGGTGTGTGCGTCGGCTGGGGATCGAACCCCGGACCATGTGCATGGTCGGCGAGAGTCCTAACCACTGTGCCACCAACGCACAGAGATTAAAAAATAAAAGTAATAGGAATTTCTAAAATTACACTTTCGAAATTTGACATAAATTTAGAGCATGAATGAAACCAATTGTATTGGAGAGACGAATTAAAAATCATATAAAATAGGTTAGACAAAAAAGATTCAACTGCCTTATGATATCCAGTCATGCATTTGGCGATTCCCTGAGTAACTTGTGTTAAAAGTTACAATATACAAGTTTATTCATCTTGACGCTTAACTTTCGGGTAATACACAGCTAATCCAAAATAAGGAAAACTCCATCAAACAGATATCATTAGCTTACTAGAAGGTGGTTTTTCCAAAACACTATGAATAAATGTATTTTGATGTTCCATCTTAATCCAGCTTCTAAATCCATTTTATTAGCAAAACAGCAGTCTATACTTTCTTTCCATCTATGATTTTATAATAATGATATGTTTCATTTAATTAAACAGATCAATAGTCTCGATACTGAGCTATAAAAACCCAGGTGACGAGTTTGAATTCATTACTAAAGATATTGAAATCAAGAGATGAGTTGTATTGTTATTACTAACAATGCTGCTGTTACGAACGCTACCCATACCACTTTTACTCTGCTTCTCTATCTCTGCAGGCTTCAGATATTAGATTTAAACACAGTGAAAGGGACTAACAATGATCTATTGGCATGCACCAAAACCTTATTTTAGTGTGATACCCTTCAATCCGTTCAATTACTTTTATGTGTTTGGGCTAAATGACACGCAACGTTTTAATATTTGTCCTTAGGCATTCATATATTGCCAACACCTAACAAGGCTTTTAGGTACGCAGGGTAATCAGTTTAGTTAAATCTTAATTTCGAAATTTTCTCATCCCTTTCTTTATTTTTTGTGCGAAAAGAAAAGTGTGAATCTACAAAAATAAACAGTTGAAGTTTATTAGTGGAAAACAATTTCAGACATGAAACAGTTCATCAATAAATGAAGAATTCATTGAAATTTATGCTTAAAACAGAAGACAGTTGCAGGTGTGGTTATACAGTAGTTATAAACTACAGTCACAACCCACACCCATTTGATTACAGAGATTGTTAGATCTGACAAAATAGGTGTGGTTAATCGCCCCTAGTGCTTTATTAATGTGTATGGTTAGTATCATGAATCTATTTCTCTTACTTCAAAGTAAAAATGAATTTAAAACAACACAACAGATTCAGAAATATCTTCACTGAAATTGAAAATTGCAGAAAGATGAAACTCAATATGGCTCTGTAGAAATGTAGAAATTTATTAAATAAGTATCCTACTCTGATATAGTTGAGGTATTAAGAAAAAATAGTAGGTATTACAATTTCCCCACTGGATGACATTTCAAGCACAATTTAACTGTTATAATCATATCAACATACACAAAGTTAGGAAGTATTATGAAAACTGATGTGATTATAAGTAATATGTTATGCTTACAGTATCACATAATTACTAATACTATACTACTGTTATATCAAACGAATTTACGTAATATGTAATTACATCCTATCGTGATGCCGAAATTCCACTATGCTATCATTTCTCTCAGGAATCTAATCACCACTTGAGTACAAAGGTGTTTATGCTTACGACAAGGTTAAGGAATACAGAGTTGCTAAACTAGTCAGTGAGATACAATACCTCTGACGCTTGGTCAGAGTTCATCAATTATTCATGCTAAAGCGAATATGGACATCTAATAGTCATAGTTAAACAGATTTATTTTTTTCTTCACGTTCCCAGTGGAACATAGGGCCTCAAGCTAGTGGCTTGAAGTTTCTGTAGCAGTGTTTAGTTTACAGGATAAGGTTGCTAGTCTCATGCTCAACCTTTCCTCTTTGCCAACTTTATTTCTGGCTTAGCGAGGTAAAGGAGTGAGTCGGCCGGGGATCGAACCCGGGACCATGTGCATGGTCGACGAGTGTCCTAACCGCTGTGCCACTGACGCACCAAACAGATTTATTAGCATCTTTGATTATAAAATGTTACTTGATGAGAAAACCTTAAGAATTAAATCACCGGTATTCAACAATATTATCTTTCTGAAATTCATTACATCAATCCTTCCATCATTCATCCGATGAGAGTTCGATTATGAAACTGACTAAATACAACATAAACATAAATGGAAATTCATATTTTTGAAGTATTATTCTTTGGTTGATATACTTCACTAATGACACAATATGCAAAACACGCAAACACAACTCACGAAACATACGAAAATATCAAAAATAAAGAGCACATAAGTGTTCAGTTTATAAACTTCCAGAGGAGAGGCTGTCACTTTTCATTGCTAACCATCGTACGAGACACGTAGACTGCAGAGTGATCTATAATCTATAAGGTGTTTCTGTAAAGTGCTCTCAGAATGTTGGTAAACTTATAGAGGGTATTCATCTTTAAAAGATGATTCAAGAGAACAGTTGTCTTAAGAATCTAATTGTGATTTTTCTTCTGAGATAAATGTGGTGATGTTCTAACATCCAGTGGGGGATGAATGTGTGGTCAACGCATCCACAAATCTGATAAAAATCAAGTACTCTCTTTGTGAATTACTTTTTCACATGTTTTACAAAGTTTGAGTATCATATCAGCAGTTGGCAATTCTGGAAAAACTGGTAATAGACAAATACCCCGATGATTATCATATCAATTACACAGTCTCTTTTTGAAGATACAAACGAGGCCTCGATTTGATATTGATAAGATACTTTCAATGCCCTATACCTTTAAAAACAATCCAGTCAATTAAGGAAGGATTGCTGAACATTTTCTGGATTCTAAAAGTGACAAGGGATGAATACACCCAATTCATTATAAATGATGTACCATCATTCAATGTCTTCAGCTATTGGTGTTAAGCATTACAAGAATATCAGCTAATTAATCTAACCTTTCCTGTATGGCTCAAACAAACGGGTGGTGACTTCGTGGATCTAGGTACCCCGAATATTTTTCCAATCTAATCTGACTTCAAGTCCAAGTTCAGAACATGTGCCCATCATGTCTTTTTTCTGTGGATTTAATGTAGGTTTTCGCCTTTAAGTTACAATAAGAAATTGGAAAAAACATTGTCTGATCGTACAAAAAAGCCTTATCCAGAAGTCATTCATTGTATGTTTCTCCCAAAATCATCTAGAATTAAAACACCAGGTTTTGCTGCTTTTCTGCGTTAAAGGTTAGAGAATAAATCAGTTGGGACACCTCAATGTTGCCACATCAACCTGATGCTTTTATTTCACAAGCAGGGTCCTTTCGTAAGTGTAATTTGGTTTTATTAGTAAGTGTTACGCAAACTAATGTGCACACTATCTGTCGACATGCACATGCCAACCTCAGGATCGTGAAATGAAATTGCAGGAATCCAGTGTTGTCTTAGTGGGATGTTTCTTGTTGTCATGGTGTTTCCTAATTACAGTCAATGTTTTTATATACTTTCTGAAGAGTCGGTAGACAACCTTTGAGCTAATTCACCTTGGTGTTCGGCTGGAGTTTACCGTTTATTATGAAAGAGTATGTGTACGTCTGAGACATGACATACTTCGGTGACGAGACTTCCGAGGCTTGTGTTAAACTTTATAGGCAGTCTAATTTGCAAATGCGATTAGCAGACTTAAACTACATGTGGCGTGAGAATTGCCGTGTTAGATATCTCACTGAAGGGCTGCTGAGTGACAAAAACTATTCAGCAACTCAAAATGGACTCTAGAGACCGAAATTTACACAGTGACGAGAAGAATAAAATAAAGAAAATGTAATGAAAAAACAACAAACCAATATTATTCAAATGTGAGTAAAAAGGATAGCATAACAATAACAGACACAACCATTGGTTTATGGTGCTGCACATGGAAATACCTGTGAGGGGATTTAGAATCTACATTGAGGTTTCATCTCATATTTTTCTGAGTGCCGAAATTCGATTCATTTACCCAAAATCAAATCAAAGATTGTCTTAGAGGACCACCCTCTGAATACTTAAGTTGAAGTCTATTCAACGAGAAAAAAGACAAACGTCAAGAGTTTCATTTCCAAAACACGTCCACAGGTCGGTTGCTTCTTTCACATAGTGGAGTACATGTGTACCATAGGTTTGGAATAGTCGCTCTTCAGCTTTCCAAGGTGAACCTTCGGTAACTTTGACTGGAAAAGTAATAAATATTGACGCTCGCTTTCTCAGTTTTATCAGAGTTAATCTCACTTTCTTGAAACGATGGGAAAGACCTTTCCAGCAAAATATATGGATGCCAAAATGAGAACATAATGACGGAAAAATAACATCTGTAAATAATAGGTCTTTTACAAACTAGGACGAAACAGCTGTCCAGTACTCCCAGGTTTTCCAGTGGTTCTCTAACTGATGTCAGCTCATGATTAAATCCTCCATACAATCAAACCAAATCCCTACAAAACCAACACTTTCACAAAGAGATCTGATGCTCACTAGCGACTGGCCCTATTCAGGCAGTTAACCTGGGGTTCTAGTGGGAAGCCGTGACCAGTAGGGTACAGCAGGTAGAAGATGAGGCAGCAACTCATCGAAGAAGACATTGCGAAGTGGTCGCGCTATGTCATGAATTGACAGAAGTTAGAATTCAAGGACCATTGGATCGGGTCCCAGTGGCTCAATGGTCTACGAGCTCGCCTTGTAACCAGAAGGTCCTGGGTTCGAATCCCAGTGGGTGCGTGCTGCTGAGGAGTCCCAAACTAGGACGAAACAGCTGTCCAGTACTCCCAGGTTTTCCAGTGGTTCTCTAACTGATGTCAGCTCATGATTAAATCCTCCATACAATCAAATCAAATCCCTACAAAACCAACACTTTTACAAAGAGGCTAATCCTCAAACGACTACTTAAAATAGCTGCCTCATAAACAACTTAATAAAAGCTGAATAGTCTCGCGAAGTTTTATGGCATATCATTAAATAGTACGAAGTAAACATGAAAGTTCTTTATTACTTACTCTTAAGGTTGTATCCCAACTTCCGGTGCATATGGCTGTTCCATCTGGGCTGACGCGTAAGGAAGATATTCGGTTTTCATGACAATAAAGAATGCTAATACGCTGACCTTTTAGTACATCCCATATGTTCATAGCATGATCGCTGTATCCACCAAAGAGCAAGCGACCTACGACAAAAATTAGTATGGCTGTAAGTGGCTGTATCAAAATCCACATACTATTTAAAGAATCATTTCATTTACTTAGAACAACTTTGGTATAGCATGGACTCGAGAAATGTGATACACACAAGGGGGGTCACCATTAATGATGGTTTGAAAACTAAGGTAGGGCATGCTAAATAACGATCATGTTTTAGCAAGTTATTCTAAAGGTGTAGAGACAAATTAATTCAAAAGCGTGTCCTGATTTTGCAACCGTGATTTCAGCACTATATGAAATGAAAGGAGCTACTGCTCGATAAGAAAGAAAATCAGGACGAAATGAGTAAACAACAACTTAAAAGCAGTTAGAAATTAAAGTTGAAAGTTGCATAATATAATAAGGAACACTTTTTGGTTAAAACTGAGTGAAAAACAAACCTTTTGTAGATGTGGCTAGAAAAAATTATCGTTGTGTGGCTACCAGGAGGTATAGCATTTGCTGAAGTTTTTAAAAGTAATTCTTTCAATCTAAATAATTAAAGATGTGTTTAGTGAGGGTAGAATGAAGCACTGTAGACACGTTAATAGACAGTCTTAAAGTTATGTTCATACTTGGAAATGGACAAAGTTCATTCACATGCGTAAATAATAAATGCAAAACACTTTAAAACGTACTTTATAAAGACGCTAATGACCGATATATAGTAGAACTCAACCCTTACCAATGACTGTGTTGTGATTTCATCAATAGGATAATGGCGAACCAAGTAATGGAGGTTAATAATAAAGGACTTGTTGAGTAAGATTGACTGTTTTAATGAAACCCCAAATATATTTGAACGTCGTGCTGCTTGAATTGCAGACTGGTTAATACAGTGTGAAAACAGAGACAACCACATATAATTTCATCACAGTAGGTATCAATAGTTGGGAATCTCACCATTTTGGATCGACGAAGTCAGAGACATCTGAGAAATTTCAGACTCCTAATATAAAAGACAAATACAATTCTAGATCTGTAGTTTGACGGGATTCACAACACCTAGTTATTCTTATTAACTACATTCAAAAATTGGTCTTTAACCTGTTACCAGTGTGACTTGATATGAATTCCATCAAGAGAGTAATCAAATAAAATTAAAAGCTTGACAAATAACTTGTAGTAAGACAAGTTATAGAAGTGTCGGACAAGTGAATTAACGTCGGACAGGAGATCATGGCATGTTTCATCTCGACAATAAAAGTTGGGTCCAAAATAAACATGATACATATTTTGTTGGAAGAAAACGGATGCAGTGGACGAGAATATTCTGGGAATATGACTTATAAAGCATAATTTCACTAGAACAAACATCATCAGTCATACGTGATAATGTATTTTTATTTATGCTAGCTTTACCTCAAGAGTCTAGTATACGCAAAAATATAGCTAAAACCAAAACGAGTCTGAAAGCCGTTATTTATCATAACTCATTATCAACTGATGACTAAAAACCACGTATGTACTTTTAGATATGAAGTCACAGCTAATAGATTTGAAACTGTGTTATCCTAGTCTGAATTCTCATGTGGAAACCATGAAAATTACCATTCAAAGCATTATAAATTAACTACAGAAAAATTTAACGAATCTGAAACTAACCACTTAGAGAGAAATCTACTGCATTGCACGCAAAAATGACACTGTCTTTCTTATATACGCAAACTTCACGATCAGCACGTAGGTCAAATAAGCGGATAGTAGCGTCATCTGAACCTGTTGCGAAAGCGTCTCCACTAGGGAAGAACCGGACACTATTGACATCAGATTCATGCCCCTGGAACACCTGAACACATTGCCCTGTACGCATATCCCACACATTAGCGCACCTGTCACAACTCTAAAACACTCAATTTCTCAAATCACAACACCTACCCCTGAAACGAAAGTTCTTCCGAATTCTGATGGCGATAGCGCAATACTCAACACATCAGCGGAATGGCCGTAGAAACTCTGGATTATTTGTGCATATTCCACATCCCATAACACACAAGTACTGTCCCCACTTCCTGTTAATAGCTGGTGATCCGATATGTTGAATAAACATGACGAGAGATATGAGGTGTGGGTCGCAACAAGTTTCTTCTTAAGAATGGGATCTTCATCCGAAGTTAGTGGGTATACAGTACATTTATTGTCCAGACCTCTGAAACAGAATTACATTATTGTACCATTAGACAATGATTTTTAAAAGTATTTTAAAATGAATATGATGCTATCCTAACTAACCCACAAGCGACGAAATTACCAGAAGGACTGTACGCACAAGACATTACCCAGGTTGTTGGCATTGATATTGAATATTCCTGTGGAGTAAATTACTAGTAATAAAGAATTACTTTAGATGTAGTAAATCCATCCCAAACAAGAATTTTCCCATCCTACTAGTTTATCAATAGAATCATTCGATTACCTGGGAGGAGCTCACAATATGTCTCTTATCCAGAGACCATGCAAGACTTAATACTTTTCCCTGATGTCCCTTCAGAACCCGCCGGATTCGGATGTTTAGGGACGGAACTGCATCTAGATGTTGGCTGGCAGTAACCACTGCAAAATAAACTTTCGCAAAAACTAACAGTCTTCATCAGCAAGCTTATTACGTTCATCTTCAAGCTTTCTTTTCAGTGAGTCCACTTCTTGAATGAGCTGAGCATCAATTTGGCCTTGATCAGCTTGTCCACCCGCCATAATATGCACTTTTGGAAATTAGGAGCGTAAAACAAGAAAACTGTTCTCGAAATCGAATTTGACAATTTTGCACCTGTTACTGGTTTTAAGGTCTAAATGGTGATAAATATAGTGTAAGCTTTATTAATGGTATTTGCACCGACAATAGTTTGAGCATATTGCCAACACTGATCTGTTAGGAATGATGCATTAGGTGAAATGTAAGAAAAATTCAGCTCATTTCAGAAACATCAGTGATATTTCAGCTTGTTAGTAACAGTAGTCTTTTTCTTTATTTTATTACGTTTGTAACCGAACTTCGTCTTCTAAATGTGATTTCACATTGTGTCACTGTGGTAACGGAATTCTGTTAAATTACTCTGGAGAGAATTATATCGAAGAAATACATTCTGACATCAGATGGTTGGAGGTGATGGACAGGAAGCCTCACACCTAGATTTCATGCTATTTGGCACTCATCAGCAAGGCGCATCCGCAACCTTGAAAGAATTTGTGCTGCTTCTGTGACTCGAACCCGCGTAAGGAAACTTGGTTGGTAGAATTCAATCTCCACCAAACAAGTGATTAGACACAGTACACTAATGAAAAATTGCTGTCCTATCAAAGAATCGGCCTTCTGCTATGTGGGCAATAAATTATTGGGATTCAATTTCCAAAATCATTTTTCGAGCTAGTGTAAACCAAATTTTTTGTGGTCACCCCTTGGTGTTGAGGTAAAGGTTCCTGGTTTTCGGTAAACTTCTGTTTAATGTGTTCCACCACTCTCAGCAGTGATGGGCTGCAAGGGGAGTGGTACTGGGATCGGTTATGTGTGATTTATAGTAAGCGGTGTGCTAAGTCTGTGTCTTCAGTGTTAGTGGATTTGATCTTTTCAACCATTACTAGTCCGAAGTGCATCAACTGAGAGATAAAATTAATAATAAGCGCGAAAAAGTATAAATAATGTAGATTATGTACACTTAGGAGGAAAAACTTACAGAGACATAGATCCTGAAATTTCACATAAAAGAGTATATTCATATATATATAAGTTAAAGTGGCAATGACATAAGTCAATAAGTATCCAATATCCAATATCGTTTTTACGAGCTAGTATAAACCAATTTGATTTCTTTGTGCTCGCTTCTTGATTGTGAGGTATAGGTTCTTGATCTTCGGTAAACTTCTGCGTAGCTTGTCCCGCCACTCGACTGTCGTAGCTTTGGTTGACTCCAAAGGGAGTAGTGCTGGGATTAATTATATGTGGTTTGTAGTATGAGGTATGTTAAGACTGTTACTACTGTGATTGGAGTTGATCCTTTCGCCAGTTAGTCCTTCGGTATTGTCGACAAGAGAAAAGAGATAGTAATAATAATAATAGATATAATTAGTGAAGCTATTCAGACTAAGAGACAGAAACGAAAATAGGAAACGTAACAACAGTCAGCTCATTAAGTTTGAAGAATAATATATATATCGGTAATAGTAATAATAATAATAATAGTAATTATAATATTAATAAGTTGTCAGGAGAGTAAGACGGGAGAGAATGTAAAGAAGTAAAATGACGAGTTTAATTATCTACCCTGATTGGTAAATGCGATTTTAAGGAGATAGGCCATTTGGATGCAGTCCTTGTATCGCTGCATGGTTGTCCAGCCTTCGCTTAAAGGCGTCCAAAGACGGTGCCATAGCTACATCTGCCGGTAAGGAATTCCAGGGACGACAAACCCGCAGTGAAAAGAAGTGGGAGCGCACCCGGGTCCTTGCCCTCTGGTGAGCTATCCTTCTGGGATTTCCACGTGGAAGCCTATACCTACTCAATGGCAGAACACCTTTGTTTGGGTGATTCTGGTCATTTGTTATTTTGTAGGCAGTAATCAAATCCCCCCTAAGCCGACGGTAACTAAGTGTGAACAGGCCTAATTTCTTCAGCCTTTCATCATATGGTTTGTTTCGGAGACCAACCACTCCTTTTGTTGCCCGTCGTTGGACTCTTTCCAAGAGGTTGGCATCTCTTCTCAGCATTGGGGGTGCAATAATATTATGCACCTCAAGGTGTGGCCTGACGTATGTTTTGTACAACATTAGAAAGAGCTCAGGAGTGAGTGCACCTAACTGTCTATGCGTAAAGTGTATGACCGCATATGCCCTCGCTACATCCCCTGTGTAATTTACGCTTGTGTCCATTTTTTCCGTTAGAACTAGACCTAAGTCGCGTTCCGACGTTGTGCAGGACAAGCTTTCATTGCACAGGGTGTAACTTGCATTCTGCAGTCTACAGGTGCGCAACTTCACTACTTTGCACTTTTTCAAGTTGAAAGTCATGCCACTGGCCACCGCCCAGTCTTCCAGAAGGTTTAGGTCTTCCTGTAGCCTATCTGAGTCCTCCGGACACTTTATCGCCCTCCATATTTTTACGTCGTCAGCGTACAGGAGAGTCGGGCAGCTCAGACGGCGTGGTAGATCATTGATGAAAATCAAAAACATCAGTGGTCCTAGGATAGAACCCTGCGACACTCCTGATGACGATCTGTGCCAAGATGATCGGACTCGGTTAACCTTAGTGCAAAATTGCCTGTCGGCTAGGTAGTCCTTCAACCATGACAGAAGTGGCTCACCTATGCCTGCCTTGATTATTTTATGTAGGAGAAGGTCATGGTGAACAGTGTCAAATGCCTTCTCAAAGTCTAGGAAGACCACATGGACTGGTACGTTCAAGTCCCAGCATGATGTCCAGTCGTCCCAAGCTGACAGTAGGTTAGTGACGCAGGATCTGCCTTTTCTGAAACCATGTTGGGCTTCATGTAGTATATTAGTCCTATCGAAATATTCCCTGATGTGGTCGTCAATAATACTTTCCAGTACTTTTGATACCACTGGGAGTAGAGCTACTGGTCTATAGCTAGCAGCGTTTTGCCTGTCCCCACCCTTGAAGATTGGAGAAAGGATGGCTCTTTTCCACTCCCTTGGCAGGGTCCCCGAATCCATTGAGTGTTGGAACAAGTCGCACAGGGGTCTACAGAGAGCCTCGGCGCACTGTTTCAGAACAGATGGCCTGATGTCATCACAACCTGGGGACTTCCCAGGTATGAGTCGCTGTAGCTTCCTTAGTACTATTGCGGGGTTTATTTGGGGAGTAGTCGCTAGGTCTTCCTCCTCTGAAATAGTGGTGCCACCATTTTGGTCCGTAACTGTAATATCCACATTGCTGTTTAGCTGTTTAGCGAAGGCTGAACTGAATGTTTCAGCCATCTCCAGACTAGTGAGATATTGACCGTTTGGGCCTACTAAGGCGCATGCCCCTTGGTTTGTCGGTTTTCTTTCCGACATGAATCGGTACAAGTTTTTAGGGTTTGATAGGAGTTTTTTAGCAAGGTTAGCCTGGAATGACCTTCTGTCCCTCCTGACTCTTGCATTACACCGGTTCCTGAGTTCGAGGTATGCATCATGGTCGGTCTGACTCTTAGATACACGCCACGTAAACCAAGCCTTCCGCTTTGCTTGCAGAATACGTTGCGTGCCTCTCTTCAACCATGACGTCTTTCTCTTAGGCTGTGTTGTGACTAAAGGGACGGTATCCGAGATTGCTGTATGGATAATCTTTTTTACCACTTCCCAGTGTTCATCCACAGATAGGTCGTCCCATGCTAAGGGCCAGTCTGCGTCGGACAAGAGCCTCCGCATTTCAGCATAGTCAGCCTTGCTGTAGCACAGACATGGTCGCGTAACATCCCATTGCAAACGCTCACGGAGGACAAGATCGAAACCTATGACTGCATGGTCACTGCTTCCCAGAGGAGTCATGATCTGGACCTTTTCGACGAGTAGCTGGTCACTAGTTAGAATATAATCTAGTTTTGATGACTTTCCACTAGGGCCCCACCTAGTGTCGTCTCCAACATTCTCAGTCAGTCCCGTGTTTCGAATAGTTTGCAGTAGGTTTCGGCCAAATTTTCCCTTAGCACACCCGGAGCCGAGGTTCAGTGATGGAGCATTGAAATCTCCAGCTATGGTGATTTGGTCGTAGCCCAAATCTCGTATTCCTGTGATAGTGCTGAGCAGTAGCTGATTGTGCTCTGCCCCACAGGTGGGAGATCGGTAGATGCCACCCAGTAAGTGCTTGGTGTGGCCTACGGTGAAATGACACCATATGGAGTCTGGGAGTTCGATAAGTGGTGGGTCCGTTGCGCGCACACATTTAAGTTGCCTATCAAAGTATATAGCAACTCCCCCTCCTTCCTTATTATCCCTGTCTCTCCTGACCAGTACCATATCACCTATACTGATTTCATTGTCGGCGATAGTGGGGTTTAGCCACGTTTCAGTAAGAATGATTATTTTCAGTTGAAGGTGTGCTTGGAGATTTCGGAGTTCACCTACTTTCCCTCTCAGCCCCCTCACATTGCTATATAGGCAACTGACAGTGAGTCTAACAACCTCAGAGTGTTGTGGGGTAGTTGACGTGAAACCGTCTGCTGGTGGGGGACTTGATGTTGGAACTAGTTGGCCGATTCCGATAGAACCGGCCCGTTGTAGTTTTTTTCAATGGATTTAGGCAGGACACTTGGGAGACACAGACTATTATTCTCAGAGCTGCATCGCTCTAGTGTCACCGAAGCTTGGGGTCGTATTAAAGCCTCAGTTTGCTGCCTCCTTATATTTCTGGGTCTGCTTTCACAGCATCGGATGTGTCCTCCAATTTTTCCCTTGGTCTCATACCACCGTTGAAGTGATATGGACAACTGCTCCGGGGAGTTGAATGTGACACACAGCAGCTTTGGAGAGTTAATCAATGTTAGATGAGCGGGACGAGGTAGTCGGAAAATGGAGATGGCTCCAGAAGCGCCAGGGGCCATCTGAGATGACAGCCATCTCCATTGTTGTACGTCGTGCATGTGTTTTTCACAAGCAGTGCCGGTTTCCAGCTCCGGAACACCGTGTACCACCATAGAGGTGGAAGGCATCAGTTCCGGTGACTCCCTCGCCATATTTCTGACAGCCCATGGTCTATCTTGCCG